AGCATGTAGCTGAATCTGGAGTTGTCCTGGACGAAGTCGGCGAAGCCGTCGTATCGCAGTGAGTTGTCCTCAGACACGACTGGATTTGCGTATACTTCAAAGGTAGATTGACCGTGGATGTTCATGTTCCTCCCCGTGAGGGTAACACGCAGTCGCAATGCGGGCACTCTCGATAGCGATGTTTGGATCTGAGCTTGCTCATCTTGTTTCGCGGGGTTCTCGAGAGGAGCAGCTCGTATCGTGATATTCCGCACAATTTGACCAGGCGATATAATGCCTAGGTCCGAATATTTATGACCGTGTGGTCCACCGAAAGTCTCCCCTAGAAGAACGCCGTTGTCCAAAGCAGCTGCACCGCCTGTTAAGAATGCAACTGCTGACAGAACTGGTATAAAGAACTTCATCACTGGATTGGGTTTCTGGGAGAAGGAACAAATGCTAGTGGTTGTCCGAGCAGACATGTAAACTACCAACGCCGTAAAGTAAAGGAGAGGCATGGTCGTTGTTTCCCCGCGTAAACGGATTTGTCTGGTGTACGAACTGGCGTCATAAGCAAAACTATACGGATTAGTCTGATTAGACACTGTAACACATCTTGCACCAAACAAAATATTAGATTCACTGTGGTAAACGGGCGAAGAAGGAGTGTCTCCATAGTATTATTGCGCAGTCAGGGTTTAAGTGGGTAAAATGGTTGGACCCACAATTTATCTCTGGTAGTGAAAGGGCTAAATTGTCTTCAGTTCCATTTGCTGTGGTCCTCTGTAACAATAAAAGGTACTGTAAAATATGCATACAATTATATTGGGGCATGTATCCTTTTTGGCCAATCCGAGATGGGAAATAGAGGGTCCGAGGTCATGTCTGACTCAAAAAAAGAAGAAATATATCTTACCTGAAATAAATGTTGGGATAGGGTTATTTTTCTATAAAAGGTCTCTTTTAGATACCACTGTCCGTTTTGCCGACATTCACCGGCAAAAGTGGGCGACTGGCTACTAGCTCTCAAGCCAGGTAATCACTATCACAGCTCATTATCTTCTTTGGTATCAGCAAAAAAAAAAAAGATTAAGTCACGTGACCAAACATATTTTGATCACGAGAAGGGCAACACACAATAGTAGATCTCAAAACCAGTTTATACCCAGTTCGCAAGCTATAAATTGGACAAAAAGAAACCATAATCACATGAAAACATGCAACAATACAGGTTGGACGTCCAAAATTGGAATCTACATGATCACTTCGTAAAAGTCTGTATTTATAACTATGGGGTTCACTACTCGCGATCTCTACGGCAACTGCGTTCGATCGCTGTCGTCCTCAGATTCGTCACTGTAGGCTCGGTCATCCAGCGACATCCGCTAGCGGAGACGCCTGCGTTCGCGGTATCTCTCCTGATTACGGCGGCGTTTCCTCTAGATATCACGCCCAATGGCAATCAACCGGTTCTGGGTCTGGCGGTATTCGTCGCCGTTGGTCGAGCGAAGCGGATAGAAACCAACAAGGTAGTTGGTGAGTGCAGCACAGGTCTGAAAGATGTCGTCGTACAAATCCTCCCCCCACCTGTACTTGTCGGCGCAGATGCGCCACATAGTGCATAGGCCACCGAACCAGTTCTCCACGATGAAGCGGTCACTGGAGACGTCTGCGTTCTGCTGGACCACAGTGGGGGACAAGTTGGTCACCTTCTTCGGGTGAATGCACCTGACGTGCTGCTCCAGCCCCTGGTACCCTTTGTCCGTAAGGACAGCCCACTCGTTAGGGTACTCAGCGCTCATGAGACCCACGTCCTATAGTGTTCTATCCTCGTATTTCTTTTGGCGCGTAGAGTGGTGGAACGCTTCGTTCCGCCGGAACATCGTAATGTCGGCGGTGTTGCCGCGTTCGTGCTCCGTGCAATTAATAGCAAAACCGCGCGGACTCACCGAAACCTCAACCTTGTACCCGTATAGCTTGTGCTTCGCACTATAGAAAGGAAGATCCTCCGCCATATTACCAGCAGATCGATTGGCTTGCTGCAAGGTCACGTCCGTGGCGTACAGCGCGAACGGATAATGCTGAAACGTGTTTCCCGATGTGACAAGCATGCGCATGGTTTCTTCTTGGGCTTTTTGAGCCACCCAGTCGTCATAGAGCTTTGGAGCAATATCCCGGATGAAGTTGGTGACAGTCTTGATGAATGTTGGCGTTTTGACGTGAAAAATGTTGGAAAACATCTCCCACGTACCCCCATTCTTAAGCACAACGAGAGTCATGAACAGCACATCCTTTCCCTTGAACTGGGAGTGTCTCCCACGCCCTACATTCCAGTACCGTGTGATGTGGGGGCGAACAGACCCCCAGGGCGTGTTGATTTCATGCAGGGTGAAGTTCGTCAGCCGAAGAATAGCGTCGGCTCCTCCATCGGCGACAAAACGATCGTAGATTGAGGACTGTGACGCTAAGTTGTCGCCTTCAGGAAGCACGCGGGGATACTCGTCGAGTTCTTGGCGGCGGTTGTCGTCACGCTCTTACAGCATAAGCAGCACAGCTTATAGGTGGTCACGGCGGAGAGCGCGATGCATCTTGCTTGGGATGGGTTCAGAGGGGAGGTGGGGTAAATTGCTCGAAGTTGGTTAATTCGGAAGTGATCTCTCTTTATGGCCGTGAAAGATATGTTGCT